ACCCTGGTCTCTGGTCATTTAAGAGTGTGATATTAAAGGAATACCAGCAGGCGGGGGCACTGCGTTCTCGAGACCCGTCAACAGCCGGCGAACAGTGAATCAGTTGCAAGACGCGCTTTGCTCACTGCTGTGAGCCCTGTGTCGTGAAAGGACACGCTACAAATCGACGACGGATTCTCGTGGCCAAGCGCAAAGGTGTTCTGGAACACGTCGTGGGTGCGACCAACTCCTTCCGTGGCCCCTGCCATTCCTTATTTAGCTCCACGCACGTTTGGACCGACGACGCGTTGGTGTCGTCAGTCCCACTGAGACAAACAATTGAAGCTTCGTCATGGCCCATTGGTTTCTTTGGAAGACAACTGGAGTTTGAGACCACCATGTCAATGGTGCCCTGGTGTGGATGTCGTGTTCTGCAGTGTGTCAAGTTGTCGACAAGACTGCAGTTGTCATTGACCGAAAACCAGGGAAAAGGTTTGTTAGCCGACCCCGTTGCTGCGCGTCTGCGGGGTGTTTCCGTCCCTTCTTTCGGACTCTCTCAGCGGATGGCCGACAGATGCCACGCGGGTTGGGAGTGACAGTCCAGGGTGCCTGAGGGGTAGCTCAGCATCCCTTTTTGCCCTTTTGAATCACCAGTGCCAGAAGGGCGGGGTGCGTCCTCGGGATAAACACTGAGGGGGTAAATTCGTCGAGCCCTGCAATCCTTTGTGCGTCTCATCTGCAAGTGTTCGCCGTGTCTTGGATTGCGGTCCAGCCAAAGAACCTTGTATTGTGCGAGTGATCATGGATCGACAAACTCGTGGCAGCGGCGACAAAGTACTGGGAGGGATTGCAGATCTCCATGCCCGATTGCCTCGTCTGAAGATGGCTCACATCGCATACGTGCTAATTATCTTTGGCGCGCGACTCTGGCGCCAGCCCGTTTCTGTCCATCATCAGATGAACAGTTCTCTGCGGAGAAGCCGCAATCGCGGGCAGATTTCCATTGTTGAGCTTTGTTTGTTCCTGCTGATGGTGTGGCATAGCACCAAAGCGACGCGCATCAGAAGGACGAGTACGAATACTTGGTATGACGACGGCAGATACTTGGATACAACAAATACCAAGAGGAGCGTTGTGTGCGCTGCAGGCAATGTGATCTGAGTGCATCTCGTGCAGGCCTCCTTCCCCTTTCCGGAGCCCCCCTTCATCTGATTCTGGGCACACAGCCCTAACCAAGATCCTTGACTGGAGGACATTCCGTGAGTGTTCTGGGAGGGTTCTGTCGAAGCCATCTCAGGTACCCGTATCTGTGCTGTTTGCGGCGGCGTGGCCCGTCAATCAGAGCCGGTTAAGCGGGCAGCCATCACGACCAGGGGCACATTGCGATGGTGATTGGCCAAGGAAGGGCTTGACGACGATGCAGTGTGCATGGGAACGACAGAGGCACAGGCAAATGCAAAGGACCGGTGAGTAGCGCTGCTACAGCACGCAGCGAGTTTCACGCGCATCGTGATCCGGAGTCTTCCTCTTCTGTGCCTCTGTGCCGTCCCTCCATTTCGGCACACAGCAGCAGAAGCAATGGCTGTAATCTGGCACGAATAGGAAATACTTGTACTCTGTAAACACCGAGCAGTCTAGGCGTGGTGCAGGGTATCCATCCACGACAATTGCGCAACACGGCGGCTCGTAGCGAGGTGGATTGACACACGGTCGTGGTTTTGGGGGACGATGACCGCGGGATGTGCGTCTGTTGTTGTGGATTAATTAGGACTCGGACGCAGAAGGGATCATTTTGGTTGAGAAAGGAGGAGCGTAAAACCAAAGCACGAGTGGTGTGCGTTTCAGTGCGGTTCAATTGCAGAGGCCCAGGGCAGGTTCTTGAGCCCCATTTTGGCGCAAGAGACAGCGAGAAAAGGACGTCGGTCGGTTCGCGTGAGACAGAGACAGGGCCGGGAGAGCGGTGCATGGCGACATGGGCACTGGTGTATTGGTTGGTGTTGGTGAAGGGAGCGAAGCGAAGAGGCGTCCAGTTTTGATCGGCTGGGTGCTGGATCTGGAGGTTGCCCTGTCAAATGCTGGGGTTGTGCCGTCCTCTTGTCTCGCTTGGTCTCGGCCGCCTCGCTTCGTGCGACCGGGAGGTTGGATGCAGAAGATGACATCAATGGGAGATTCCAATATGTGGCGGCCATGGCAGAGGAGAGGGCGATGGCGAAGGAGAGCGAGGGCGAAGGCAATGACGAAATGAAGGGTCTCGACTGATCAGTAGGAAGGTACTGCGTAAGGTTGCAGGTGGTGTTGACGTTGGGGGTCCATTGGCAGGCTCAGGAAACACTCCTTGCGTCAGAGAACAGGTGGAAGGATGGCAATCAGCCGCCTGCCATGGTCGTCTCGTTTCTTCTTTTCAGATGTTTTCTGGAGGACCCCGGTCGGCATGGTGCCTGGCACCGAACAGTGCATCTCGCAAAAGGTGAAGCATTCGGGGCAGGGCGAGATATTTCGTCACGGGACGGTGTCCAAAGCCTGGCACCGAACAGTGCACGTATTGCGCATTGTCGCTGTTTCCTCAGATGATGGGCCCAGATCAGACCAGGCACCTCGCGTGATTTGTTTCTCCTTTCTCGGATCCGATTTCATCCTCATCCCCGTACAACAGGCAGCGGCGACGGCGGCAGCGGCAACACAAGAATCAAGGTTAAAGGGCCTGTAAAGAAGGTGCATCGGTACTTAAGGTAAGCAATAAGGTGGCAGGCAATACGCAATAGATGGTGGTCGTGCATGCCATTGATGCCATGTGGTTTGTCGGACGGCATAACTAGGTTGTAGTTGCTGCATCTGCGTCTGCATCGGTAGTCTTTTTGGATTGGTGCGTTGATAGTGGTGGTGATGGTGATGGTGGTGGTGGTGGTGATGGTAACCTCGTCCAGTCGGCGATGGATGACTGTGAAGGAGTCACCTAACTGGAGCAGGAACATTGCAGGCCGAGGGGAAATGGTGGAAGGTACAAGTGCAAAGTATCCTTGCCGTGTATCTTTGTACCTACCGCAAGCCCCTGCAAACACAAGACTGGAGCCACGGGGGCCCTAACCGTGCGCGCGGTACGTAGGTCGCTAGCAAAACTCTCAGCACCGAACAGAGTGGGTGGCCCCTCCCCGTTGGCGGTGCCTCGTTGTTGGCCCCTGCTCGGCATCCCAGGACCAGTGGCCCGACCAGCCACAACGCTTGGAAAATTAGCTGGTGGGGTCCGAAAGGTCAGCCCGACAGAGTACGTACCTCCTGTGCCGTTCTTCGAGTGCAATTTAGCAGCCGCTAACCACGGTGGCCCACTGGGCAACCAAGCAACCACGCGAACCGCTGCTGCCCGCCGTTAGGAGGAGCCCCTGCAGTTCCTGCTCCAGACCAGACCAGACCGGACCACCTCAGACCTGACGTTCTTTCTGCTGAATCCAAACAGGCACAATCAAGATCAAGACCAAGAGCAAGGGCAAGAGTACCTTAGCAATGGAAGAGAGCGCACTTGCCACGGGTGGGAGGGTCCACCGGGCTCCCGGGCTGGCTCCTGCTTCCTCCTGCTCAGGTCTCCCCGTGGTGTCTGCACCAATTCATCCCGCCCGGATCATGTTCCTCCCACCTCAATCATCCGGTTGCTTCTCTCAGCGCATTGAGCAATAGTAGAAGGAATATTACACGCTGTTTCCAACCATCACATTATGCCATTGACCACCCCATTGATCCGCTCCTCCAGCCTCCAAGACCTCCTCCGCCGCATCTTCTTATTCCTGTTCCCTGTCCTTGATCTCCCGCCTGACAGAGAGACACCGAACCCGCCAGCGAGGGAACAAGGGCAAGGAACAGGGAACAGGGCACCTTGGGCCTGGCAATCAGTCGGCGGTACGTATCTACCTGGGTAAGGTGCCTCACAACACCTCAGAGTCAAGTCTTCTCCAGGGCGGTGGGCAGCACACACTGAGGTGCTGCAGGTGTCCTGCCGTAGGTACCTAGACGATTGCAAGGCAAGGCAGGGAAGTCCCAAGTCCCGTCCAACAGGCCAGGCCCACGGACCACCACCCTCGCGCTGAACTTGGACTTACCCATTTCCCGTTGTACACAGGTACCTTACCTTATTCCTGGCTTATTCTTCTGCCCTTCCCTCCAATTCCGAATTGCTTGTTGGTCTGCCTCACCTACCTTACCCTCCCTCACCCAATTCACTCTTCTGTGGCATCCTAATTCATTTCCTCCTTCCTTCCAGCCTCAAATCTGCTTCTCCGAATCCCTCCAATATCTAACCTTCAGCAGCAGCACCCGAAGAACCCGATAGACCGACGGCCGTTGCGCGATCGAGCCCGCCCATTTGCATCTGCACCTGCAGCAGCATCTGCATCCTCCAGTGACTGTCGAAGCGCACCACCATTCCCCGGCGCCCATCAGCCCTCAACCCTCAGCCCTCCACCGACCGACTTCAAGGTACCTTACTCAGAGGTGGACTATGCCCGTTGGACGCCTGTGCTTGGGTCTTGGCCTTGGTCTCGGTTTCTGCTCCTGCAGCCTTTGAGCTTTGCTTTGCGTATCTCCTGCCATCTCGCCGCTGTTGTTGCTTCTTTATGGCGTCAAAACGTGAGTTACCACCACACCCGCCCTGATCCCATCTTTCCCTATCGCCGTCTGTGTCTGCCTCCACGTTCCACCTCTACTCTAAACTCGCCTCTCGGGTCTTGGGACACCACGGACCCGTGAGGGCCCTTGGATCAAGTCTCGAACCACTGCTCAAAACCCGTCTCGGTCGTCCGGAGTCTGGAGCCTAGAGCCTGGAGCCTTGACGCAAACAAATCCGCCCTTCGCTTTGACTTCCCTCCAATCTACTACCCTTTTTCTACGCCGCCTGGCCCATCGTCACATTCCGTCGACATTCTACCCTTGTTCTCACCGTTATGCTGACCAAAACACCTCTGCGACTAGTCACTTCAGCGAGCAATACCTGCTGTTCGCAGCTGTAAATCATCATCGCCATACCGGCCGCGGCCATGGAGGCCACCGAACCGCTGTCCTCGCCAACTGGACGCGGCTTCAGCGTGCGCTCTCCCCAGTCGCCTCACTCTCCCCGCTCTACCCATCGCGATCAGCCTCCCCAGAGCCCTCTGAGTCCGAGAAGTCCCATTTTCAGCAGCGCGAGGTTTGGAAAGCCGCCCAAGTCAGCTGGCGGAAAGGAAGGTCCTGGCGCTATTACTGGGGGGAAATGGACCAGCAAGATGCGCATGCCAGGCGCCTCGGCGAAGCCGTTGGTCCCCGTGACTGAGAAGAAGTCGGAAGAATGGAATCTGAATCAGTCACCCGCTCGCCGTTTGAGGGGCGACAGTTCGGCCGACGACAACAAGTTCGACATCACCCCTGATGGAGGCTCCGCTGGTCGGGAAGGAAGGCAGTTTACCGTTGCCAACGTGGGGAACAATGGACGGATATACTTGAGGTGGGCTTCCCCTGGCGTTTGTTTTGCTGGTTGCGGTGACCGTTGTTTATTTGGTCCCGTACGCCGCGACAGGAATGATGGGACCTGGGCGCAATCTCGCATTTTGACCGGAAACGTACTGACAACATACAGACCGACAGTCCGGCCCGCCAACCAGAGGTTTCCTCAGCCAAACTTTGTTTTTCCCATAACGCCACCTGGGACAGCCGGCCTTGATGCCTTGACCGAAAAGCAGAGACAACAAGACGCAACTAATCTTCATCTCAGCCAGTGGACAGCCACGCCACCTACTCCCGCAACGCCTGCAACCGCCGCATCTCCTCCAACGGTGAACAACAAACGCTTTTTCCCTAGTCATGCCCCACGGCCTTCTCAGCATAGACGTGCACATTCCGACTCGACGGCACATGATGGCGCGACGAGCAGGAACTCCGAGGCCGAGGGCTTCAAAATCGTCATTTCCAAACCAGGAGAGGAGAAGCGATCAAAAACCACCGAGGATCTGGACGCTCCCGACATTCCTCTGCTAGACATCGAGATTCCAAGCTGGAAATTGGGCAACCCACGGTTTACTGCTAGAGGCACGGCTTTCTTCAGAGGATCGAGTTATGCGCCGACAGAAGAGTTTCCCCGCTCGAGCAACGTTTCCTTCCTTCATCGAACTCCCACGGGCGAACTTACCCCGAGAATACCAGAGTCGTTTTCTTCCAGGAAGCCCACCCCGATTTCGATTCCTCAAATACGACTGCCACCCTTGGAATCTACGGGGCCGGCCGTATCCTTCAGTCCAGCTCCCATGACAACGCCCCGGTTGCCCCCCATCCGCTCGACCTACCTGTCCACTCATCTGGTCATTGAACCGGCCATGTTCGATGCTCTCACTTTCAAGCCGGCATGCGACGACCGATCTTTGGTTCGCTACTCGCCGTCTACAGGCGCCGTGACCGCTGCAACGCCACCCCGCCTAGTGGCTGAAATCACTTCGCCCAGCTTCCTCGACTATGAGCTTATATCCGACTTCTTCCTCACGTACCGGGCCTTTCTGGAGCCGGCCGACTTGCTCAGGATGTTGCTTGCTCGACTAAGATGGGCACTGGGCCGAGATGATGAGATCGGCATGGTTGTGCGAGTTCGCACCTTCGTGGCAATGCGCCACTGGATCCTCAACTACTTCATCGACGACTTTGTCATCGAGTATGCTCTTCGAGTGACTTTCTGCAACTTGCTGAACGATATGGTTGATGAGCTTTCCACCGATCCGCGAGGACGAAAGGTTCAACTGAAGATTCTTGCGGAGCTGAAGAAGTGCTGGCGACGTGTGTGCGCACAGTTTTGGGATGGTCCTGAGTTCGATTCCTCCCTGGGCCCGAACGTACCCATCGCCCCGGGTGGCATTGCGGGTCATCGAAACGCCAGCCTGGACCCTTCATTTTGGGAGCAAGACGGTGCTGCTCCTCAGCTAGATTCTCTCTTCGTCCCTACTATAGAGGACAAGGAGCAAGCCAGCTTCTATGCAGACGTTTCCCGCGCTGGACACTTTGGGGACTCTCAACCCATTTTGGAGAGACCCTCTACGCCGGAAAACCAAAATGTCCAGGAATTTGACAGGACGCAAGCAGCATCACCCACTAGTATTGTGAGCATGGACGTCATTTCCTGCTCGTTTCCTGGTAAGACCACACGAGGAGCTCAGCCGGCTGGCAATACTACGTTGGGTGCTCACCCAGTAGCGCCATCCAGCTCCGTCTACTCGAGTGCTGGTCCGGTAGCAACGACACCAAGAGCTCTGGTCGGAAAGCGCGTCAGGCCCAGCCACGGACACAAGAGGAGCGGGAGCCTGACTGATTCTCTTAGAGAAAAGCAGCATGCAGCGGAGAAGACGATATTCCAGGAGACCGAGTTTCTCATGTCGCTGCCTTTTGCTGGCAGCCTTGTCAGGGGAAACTTGATGCCTCCTGGCCAGCCGTACGTTGAGATGATGTCTCCTAGCCTTAGTGGCGAAAACCAGCGACAGACCACCCTATTCCAAGTGCCCCCTGAGCACAGAAGCACCGCATCGGCGATGTCGGGACAAGGTATGAGGAAGCTGATCGGCAGCGTACGACGTGCGCTCAGCACGCGAGGACAGAACGTCTCCCCAACCCAGGGCAACTTCATCAACATTTCGCCCATTGGACCCCGTGGAGCCACCACTAACCGGCTCCCTGGTACCGCCATCGTCCCGCAAGCTCAACCGCGACTGAATGGCACCCGGCCCCCTGTTCGACTCGACCTTTTGGGTGCAGAGATTGTGGAGGACTTCAAGAAGGCTGTTCGAGAAGACGCCGCGGTGGAGGCTGCGGCAGATGCTGAACGACGCGGCTATCTCAATCCGACCATCGGAGCGCTGCATAGTGCACTTCCTGATGGAGCCCTGGATTACTCCGCGGCCCATATCACATCGGCCTTTGGCAGCAGCATCCACGACAATGACACCCTTAGACCTGTCAGCGACATGGCCATTACCACCGGGAGCAAGTCGATTGTCATTGTCGACGACACGGTGACCAGCCCTCTTCCCGCAATGCATGGAGCGATTCCAGTCAATGATTCCGTGGAGGCTTTTGCCGATTCTTTCATGCCGCCTGCAGCTGATCCGACACCGCCGAACACGCCGCCCGGACATCTGATGGGTACCCCTAGACGGTCTTCATATCTTCTCAATCAGCATGTCATAAGACCGTCTCTATCTGCGGATCCCTTACCGCCATTCGTTCCTGACTTAGCAACGCTGGGCGATAGTCAGGCACGTCCCTCTGTAGACACTGATCGTCCCGCATCAGACACTGTGGGACCGATTTCAAGGCGTCCCACTCTCAGAAGATCCGCGAAGAGGCATATTCGTCAAAAGTCGAGCAAGACCAATCGCTCCCTTGATTCTGCTACAATTCCCCGACGTGCTGCCTCTTTCGGAAGTGCTTTCAACCCACGCTCGACAGTGAAGAGCTTCGATGCGACGACTTACTCGGAGAACTCGGTTTCTGACGAGGACGAGCCCAGTCCTGTGCCTGAACCTCTCCGCATCCTGAGACGACGCCCCGGCGGTGACCTGCGGGCTGTAAACAATGTCGGCGATTTGGACGCCTTCCCACTGCGTAAGTCTCGGTCTGTTGGCTCACTCACGACATACTCAGAGTCTATGCGAAGCTCCTATCTGCAAAGCTCGAACCATGATACCAGTGCCTTTGTCGATGTCGTTTCTAGCGAATTTTCCCACCAGGACAACGCGGAAACTTTCTCGCTCGGGGCCCTGGCAGAGCCGTCAGCCAAACGTCAAGTTTCTCTGTTCAGCACGCACTCGTCTAAACCAATCATGCGTCCGTCTTTCGAGGCGGAGGCACAAAAGTTGGCACAAATTCCAGACGATGCTGACGATGACGGCGGAGTTGAGTCGGCTCTACTTAAGCTGGAGGGCAAGTACGAGAAGAGGACATTCAAGCTGTCCATGGAACCCGCCAACACCCCTCTTCCAGGTGTGATCGCAGAGATGGTGGCAAAGAACGACATGGAAGGATCACCCAAGCAGGGCAGACAAAACCGGCACTTGCATGTCTTGCCTGGAGATGCGATCCCGACTCACCAGCATCAAGAGGGACCCGATGCACATGCAAGTTTCCTTGGTATTCCTCAACGACCGCCCACAGAAACAGGCTCGTTCCTGTCCGAAAAGTCGGGAGGATCGTATTGTTCGATCCCCCTTTTGGAGCGAGATTTCTCAGATGACGGCCAGAGCAAGGCAAGCGTTCGCGAATGGACCAATATGTCCATTCTCCAGGGACCAGACGACGATATCACGCCGGCTGTGACACCTCGTCCCATGGAAGACACTGGATCCCATCATTCATCCTACGAGTTCGTGCGTAAGACAGAGAGTATGGAGAAGATCAAGTCAGGTGACACAAAGGCGCCGCCGAGCGAGCAGTCATTTCTGGAAGACGACAGCGATGGAGAGGACGACAATGTTTCCGACTTATCTTCCGAGCTTTCGGCAGAGGTTGTCGAAGCAGACGAATTCGTGGCACCGGAGCCGCAGGCGCCCAAGTCACATCGCAGCGCCTCGATTTTGGAGTTCGACCGTCGCCCTCTGCGAGAATCAGTCGTTAGCCCTGTTGACAGCCAAAATCCTCCCTCGCCGCCAATGACACTCGTCCAGGCTCTCCGTATGTCGCCTGAAGCTGCAATGATCCCGGAGCTTCGCGAGAGTCAAGTCTTCCAACGGAAGCCCCTGCCGCTAACTCCTGACGCAACTCCGACTGATGCTTTGTACCTCAACTCCCCCGCTGATCCCACTGGTACGAGGGAGGCCTTGCGCGGGCAGCCAAAGATACCTGAGGAAGAGCGAGAGTCGTCATTGAGATTCTCGGTGCATCTGCCCTTCATCCTCGCCTTCGATTCAGAGATCTTGGCCCAGCAGTTCACTCTCATTGAAAAGGACGCACTGAACGAGATCGACTGGAAAGAGCTCATCGAGATGGGCTGGAAGAACGCAACCAACAATGACTCCAGGTCTTGGGTTGACTTTCTCCGGAACACAGATGCTCATGGCGTTGAAGTAGTCATCGCTCGCTTCAACATCATGGTCAAGTGGGCCTGCAGCGAGATTGTGCTAACCCAGAACATTGAAGAGCGGGCGCGCTGTATCATCAAGTTCATTCACATCGCAGCTCACTGCCGCCGCTACCGCAACTTTGCGACCATGAGCCAAATCACCATTGCTCTCACGTCGATGGAGGTGTCGCGGTTGACGAGGACTTGGGCCATGGTACCGCCTTACGATATGAAAACTTTGCAAGAACTCGAGGGTCTCATCTCCCCTACACGAAACTTCTACAGCTTGCGTGCGGAGATGGAGGGAGGCTCCGACGATGGCTGCATCCCATTCGTCGGCATCTACACCCATGATCTTCTATTCAACGCGCAGCGGCCGTCTGAGATTGCTAGCTCGCCGACAACCGCCCCTCTGGTCAACTTTGAGAGGTGCAGGTACTCGGCTACCATTGTCAAGACATTACTTAGGCTACTGGAGGCCAGTACTCTATACGAATTCCAGCCTGTTGAGGGCATCACTGAGCGCTGCCTCTGGATGAGTGCTTTGAGCGATGAAGAGATTCGCAAACACTCTCACCGCCTAGAGTAGGCCAACATTGGCACTGCTCGCGGCATCTATTACTTGATTACGTCATTTTCACAATGACGGAGCCTATAAGGCAATTACGACCATCGAAAGATACCCGGATTTTGTACATGTGCTTCTTACGGATCACGACCTTCGCTCACGTTTCCTTCCCCAAACCTGTACAACAAGCACATACCCAAACTACACATTCGTTTAAGGCTTCTTTCAGCGATCGTCGTTCTACACGACCCTACTCGAGGTGGCATCCTCGAGGTAGTGGAAATATACCCTGTACTGTTAATTTTAACAAGATATCACAAGAGCATACACGGCTCGGAATGGAGGATGAAGTAAGCGGTGGCCATGGTAGGCCCAACATGCACATAGATACTTATGGCTGTCTATACCCCAACTCAGCGTTATTTGAGCGAGCGAGCGAGCGATCAGGCAAGCACAAGGAGTTGTTAGGAAATGGGACTTTTGGGACGGAACGGATACGTCGGGCTTCCTAGGCTCAGGGCTTTGTCTCTTGAGCAACGAACGTTCAATACCCCCTTGCATGTTAGATTTATACTCTAGGCGAGTAAATCAGAGAAATGTTTCGAAAATTGAATAATGCTACTCCCATTCGTGACTCTCCTGGTTGCTCCTGCAGGTCATACGCCTGTGAAGTGATCCGGTTACCACTCGCCATCAACCATTGTTACTTCCACAACTATCCAATCATGAAACTCGACCAAGGAGATGACTACCGAGGAGATGACCAGCATAGACGACAAGTCGCTTTAGGCTCGCCTTTCCGCTGCCTTTCAGCCGTCTTGGTTGGGAACGGACTTCAAGATGCCGCTTGACAAACCAAGGGCTGGGAAAACTCGTTCTGCCAGATCGGCAGATTTTGGTCTGATCTTCTTGTCTCCCGGCAGACTCTTACGATCGATGCAATGGTACCGGCACTGAGATGGCTTACAGACTACAGCAGATGGATGACAGGACATGGGCATTCAAGACAGGCCATGCAGGACACCAAAGTCACGTCACCACTCAAACACGTGTGGAAGCGCAGGTGAGAGACCGACGACGGTTGTGGTATTTTGCAATGCGAGTTCTTCATCAACCAGAAGCCTCAAAGAGTAAAAGGGCGGGATAACGATCAAGTCCACCCCTACTGGGCCCACAGGGCTTTCCCTCTCCCCCAATACATGCACAATCCAGAGTATAGACTATATCACGGATTTGGTTCGAGTATCTTTCCCTCATTAGTGCGGCCGAGTTTGAACCCTTTGCCCCAAGATGCTACCAGCAATCATAAACAACTCCGGGAAGACGTATCCACCATTTTTCCATGACCATTGCTGTGCTTTCCCGCCGACCATTTTTGCAAGTGTTTTGACGAATCGCTTTTTTCAATCCCACGCTCATGGGAGGGATGTTTTTCTCGTGTTCGTTTTGTCTTTTTGTTGGTTTGTCATTGTCCGAAGCCCCTCTCGTTTGGTCCACTACCTGACCGACACCGCAATATCAGGAAGTTTACCACTGAGACTCCTTGGGAGCAGCAGCGGCGGAGGCCTCGCCGGCCCAGTCGCCAGCGGTGCCGGCAGCGCCAGCGGCAGCCCAGTCACCCTCAGCACCGTCCCAGTTGGTGGCGGCGGGGGCACCGGTGAAGCCAGCGGCAGCAGGGGCAGCGTCCCAGTCACCACCAGCGGCGGGGAAGCCCGACTCAATGGCGGCGGGGCCCTCCTCCTCAACGCCGGGGAGCTTCTCCTCCTCAACCTTGTCCTCGGCCTCGGCCTCAGGGTCGCGGTCTGTTTCGGCGCAAGCGCGCACTCGGTTAGCCATTGTCCAGCACTTCAGCCACAAGGAGCGGGAAACACATACAGAAGTACAGATCGACCATGACGTCCCAGGGGGTCTCGCGGTTGTAGATGGTGCCGCGGAGGCGGAGGACCTCACGGGCGAGCATCCACCAGACGAGACCGATGGAGTGACGGCCCTTGTTGTTGGTGGGGATGGCAACGTCGACGTACTCGGTGGGAGAGTCGGTGTCACAGAGGGCGATGACGGGGATGTTGACGTAGCTGGCCTCCTTGATAGCCTGGGCGTCGGTGCGGGGGTCGGTGACGATAATCAGGCGGGGCTCCTTGAAGGAACGGGTGATGTAGTTGGTGAAGGAACCGGGGGTGAAGCGACCGGCGATGGCGACGGCACCGGTGTGGGAAGCGAACTTGAGGACAGCGCGCTGGCCGTAGGGACGGGCGGAGATGACGCAGATGTCGGCCGGGTTGTCAATGGCGGCGATGATGCGGGCGGCCAGGACAATCTTCTCCCTGTAGGTTGGCGCAAAAAAGTCAGCGAATTGCTGCAAAATCGCTGCTGGTGCGCGCGCAAACAGGCCAAGAAAAGAATTTTGGTGTATAATTTTCCCTCCTGCGCCGCAAGCTCGTCGTTTCGGATCGGTTTCTTCTTACCAGGTCTTGCCAACGTTGATCACGTTGACACCGTCGGCGCGGGTCTTCCAGAGGTAGGGCTCCATGTGAGTCTGGAGGTTCTTGCTTCCCAGGTGGGCTTGAGCTGCAAGCAGCATCTCAATGTCCTGGGAAGTGGCATTGAAGACCGAGGGCAGGTTAGCGGGAGCCATCTTGGGCGATTTGGGTCGATCTTCCACGGGGGTGACGAGGGGCGACTTGGTGGTGATGGAGGAGTATTTTCGATCAAGAGCTTCTCGTGAGGAAAAAAGTTCCAGGCAATATTCAGAGAAGTGTGCGCGCTCGCCTGCCCTGACCGCGCTAGCCGAACCGGGACTAGCCACACTTGGGGTCGCAGCTGCTTCTGGCAGCACGTGACGGAACGAGCTAAGCCAGATGTGTATTGTAGCCCCACCCTTTTCGAGCGATTGGAAGACGGGGCCATTGAGGCTGGAAATTTTATGGCGACCCTCCACGCCGATGATCGTGTTGAAGGGGAACTGTCGCCGCCATGCCTCCCAGATTACAGAGCCTGCAACGGCTAGGCACCGTTAGCCGTAAGCTCCAGCTGCGATTGAACCTGTGAAGGAAGTGAACCGACGGCTAATTGCTCGAGATAGTGTGCCTGCGCCCAGCTGTGAGGCCAGCAACCCCGAGCTTCCTCCCCGTCGTCCAAACCGCCAACATCTCCCTGAGGGAGCGGAAGCGCAAGGCGAAGTCGGACCCGTACCGATACCAGCAGGCGCAGCAGCGCAAGGCCGCCAACGTGAAGAGGCAGGCTGAGATCCAGGCGGAGAAGGACGCGAACTGGGGCGACCCGATCCACGGCATCCCATCTCCCTTTGTCGAATCGTTCGACTCGGCCGGCCAAGCGCCCAAGACACCCGATATCAGGGACGGAAAGGGCAAAATCATCGCCGAAGGCCATGCGCTTCCGACAACACCGGGACTCCTCAATCACCTGGTCACCCGCGACGAGCTGGAACAAGTGATACAGAAGGCGTACGCCCTCACGAAGCCGTTGAAGAGCGACAACCCCGAGACGGCAGACCCCGTCAAAGAGCAACAGGCGGAGCAGGAGCATGAGAAGAACCATGCCAAGGTGGTGGAGATCCTGAACCGCATTCTCTCTCTGGAGAACGCCAACTCCAAGATCCTTCTGCACAGCAACATCAAGAGATGCGTGGAAGAGTTTGGACGTCACAACACCGACAAGGTCCTGAGACAGAAGCCAAAGTCGGCCCTTGCCGACCCCAACGCTCCCCCGAAGCCCGAGAGAGCCGGGCCCGACACGGGAAGCTCAGAGGTGCAGATTGCGATCCTGACGGCCAAGATCAGGAAGCTGGCCAAGGAGCTGGGTCAAAACCGCGGATACAAGGACAAGCACAACAAGAGGAATTTGAGAGTGCTGTGCCACCGGAGGCAGAGGTTGATGAGGTACATGGAGAAGAAGGAGAGAGGCAGTGAGAGGTGGACAAGCATGCTGGAGAAGCTGGGTCTGTCACCAGCAACCTGGCAGGAGCAGATCAGCTTCTAGGGAATGAAGATAGAAGACTTGTAAAACTCAGACTTGTAATTGTCCTCTATGTACAATATAGCGATCGGTACAGATGCTGATCTCCCCGTCATGAACCTGAGCTGCCTCCTTGCGCCGTGATGAACCTGCCATTGAAACGATGAAACACTGGTATTCTACAAAACTTAACAGAACAGTTGGAAACACCAAACTCAGAAAACGCTGATGTAGTTGCCGATCCGGTCCTTCTGGTTCTGGGCTATGCACTCAGCGATCCAAGTAATGTTTCGGATTTCCTGTAGTACGTCAGTGGAGGTTCTAGATGAAAGTAACCGGAAGATCTTACCTGCTCACGAAGCCTCACCCAGGCGTAAACAATGGCAAAGGTGAATTGCCTGGTGAAGGCGCTCTTGGAAATTTCCATCTCCTTCTGGTAGAACATATCCTCCAAGCTCCTGCCATCGGCGCTGGAGCCGCCACCCATGTTGCCGGGTCCAGAGGGGCCACCACCAAGACCGGCGGCCTCGAAGAAGCTCTTGTAGTCCGAGACACCATCAACAGCCAGGCGGACGCCTTCGAAGTCATCTGCTCTAGAGAGCATCAAGGTGCCCTCCGGGTACAGCTTGCCGAAGCTGGGGTAGAGCTTCTTACGGTCGGACTTGTTCAGCTCGGTGCCGAACGAGTTGAGGGTGATGTTAATGGCACGGCGATCGGCCTCGAACTCGAGGATTTCCGACATGATCTCGGAGGTGGGCGAGCCAGACATCTCAGGGTGCGTGTTGACAAAGTTGTAGAAGTCCTCGAGGTAGTTCTTGTACAGGGTGTTGCGGACAATCTCGATGTTGAGCTCGTCGAGATCCTGGTGGCTAAGACTGCCCTTGAAGTAGGCGGCAAGAGGCGTCTCGATCAAGACACTGTTGTACAGCTCCTCGATGTTCGTTGCGACGCACAGGACGGGCATGGTCTCGAACCAGCCAAGGGGATGGCATCTCTCGAGAAGCTCACGGGTATCTCGCTCGTGAAGGGTGCCGGTAATCAACAGGGCAACGTTGTCGATCATGTAGCCGTAGGTGAGGTAGTCCATGAACTTGGCAAGAGTGCCGATAGCGTTGGCTCGAACATAACGGAACTCGGAGACGAGCTTGTCGGTCGTCTTCGCGGCCAGGGCTGACGTCGAGGGGTTGGGAGGGAGGTTGCCGAGGAAGTCGCCATAGGCAGGGCCAAGCTGCAGCTTGAGGTCTGGAAACGAGTCAGAATGTCATCGCGTCAGATGGTGTGATGATACTGACCATCGATGGTCTCGCACTGGGTCAAGTTGCTGTAGCTGGAGCTTGTAAGGAGGCCATTTCTGTAGCCACGGACGATGCCCTCGAGGAAGCTGTACGATGATCAGCGACGAGCGCAACGCCACACGCAATGGTCTGCTGGTGACCTACCCGCTGTTGACGTTGAAGAAAAGACCCTCCATCTTGACGTTGGATATTGCTTGCTGATGCTCGATGCAAGAGAGCTGTAGAGGTGACGCCGGTGTTGTGGAGGCGCAGACGGAGACAGCTGCGGTCGTGGATATTACGCTTAGGACTCGGCCAAACACTGCACTCGTAGCATCCAGGTCCCAGCCTGGCGTCCCAGTCCCCATCATTGCCGTGCAGAGAGTGGCGCACGGGCCCACCGGATTCAGCCAGTCGGCGAAACGGTTTTTACGCGCTCCGAGCCATCCCACTTGCCAATTGGTCTAGAGTGGGGGCGCCCAGTTCCGCCGTCGAAAAAAATTAGGTGGAGCTTGGTTCAGAAAAAAAATATTTCCAAACCCATCAACTCGCTTCTCGAGCCTGCCTCCGCGGACAACAACCTTTACACCCACGCGCGGAGGATTTTACCCGAGGGATCTGTACGGCTTGCTTGGAAGGGATCCGACAATATTTCACAATGTCTCTCTTCGTTCTCGCCGAAACGCCGGCAGGGTAAGTTTTTCTACAACAAGAACGAAAAAAAAGATGGCGTTGAACACCCGCGAGCTAACACGAGACGCAGCTACGGTCTGTTCAAGGCTGCTGACAAGAAGCTCCTGAAGCGCGATGAGCTCACTTCTGGTCCTACCTCTTCGGAGAAGATCAATGAGATGTAAGTCGCGTCCACAAAAGCCAATGGCTAACCGTCTCTCGCCGACCAGCCAAGGCGCGCCTCGCGGTGCAGCTCTGGGCTGGAGACCGCGAAGACGGCTGCACAACTGCGAAACAAGGACGCAAAGCTGACCGTCGCATAGGCTCAAGCTCAAGTCCTTCGTCAAGTTCGATAGCTCCGCCGTCGCCGTCGAGGAAGCCGCTGGTCTCAAGGAGGGTCGCGTTCCCCCATTGCTCGCCAACCTGCTCAAGGAGATCAAGGACGAGAAGAAGGCCTCGCTCGCTGTTGCCGACATTAAGCTCGGTACTGCGATCGGAAAGCTCCCCGAGTTGAACATTCAGGCCGTTTCCGACGCCGTCACCCTGGACCTCTTCCGTGCTGTTCGTGAGAACATGTCCTCTTTGGTGCCTGGCCTCACCACCGAGACCATGGACCGCATGGCCCTCGGTCTGTCCCACTCCATCTCCCGCCACAAGCTCAAGTTCTCCGCCGACAAGGTCGACGCGATGGTTGTTCAGGCTATCAAGCTGGTGGACGACCTCGACAAGGAGCTGAACGTCTACGCCATGCGCACGAAGGAATGGTACGGCTGGCACTTCCCCGAGTTGGCCAAGATCCTCAACGACAACCTCGTCTACGCTCGTCTCGTTGTCGCTGTTGGCATGCGTCAAAACTTCGCGGAGACCGACCTCTCCGACATCCTTCCCGAGGAGCTCGAGGGCCCTGTCAAGACTGCTGCAGAGATTTCCATGGGAACTGAGATCACCCCTGAAGATTTGGACAACATCCAACTGTTGGCCCAGCAGACCATTACCTACTCCGAGTACCGCGCTCAGCTCTCCAACTACCTTGAGACCCGTATGCGCGCTCTCGCTCCCAACCTGACCGCTCTGGTCGGCTACCTCGTCGGTGCCCGTCTGATTGCCCACGCCGGTTCCCTCATCAACCTGGCCAAGGCTCCCTCCTCCACCATCCAGATCTTCGGTGCCGAGAAGGCCCTGTTCCGTGCGCTGAAGACCAAGCACGACACACCCAAGTACGGTATCATCTACCACTCCTCCCTCGTCGGCCAGGCCACCGGCAAGAACAAGGGAAAGATTGCCCGTTCGCTCGCCGCCAAGACTGCCCTCGGTCTTCGTGTCGATGCCCTCGGCGATACCGAGAACCAGGACGATGAGGAGGAGAGAAGCATCCTCGGCCTCACCAACCGCATCAAGCTCGAGAACCTCCTCCGCAAACTGGAGGGCAAGCCTCTCCTGCCCAAGGGTGTCGGTGTTGGCCCCGACGGTCAGCTCACCACCCCCGGTGGCTTCAGCCTGAAGGAGAGCCGCAAGTACAACGCCGACGCCGATGGTGTCGAGACCAACGGCAAGCTTATCCAGGTCGTTGACGAGGAGATGAAGGATGCCGACAGCGAAGACGAGGATGAGGAGATGAACGACGCGAGCGAAGAGGAGAAGAAGAGCAAAAAGGACAAGAAGAAGGAGAAGAAGGAGAAGAAGCGCGTCTCCATCGCCGCGGCCGAGACCCCCGTCAAGGAGAGCAAGACCGTCAAGGGTACCCCCGCGAAGCTTAGCGAAAAGGACTACGAGCGTCTGGCCGAGGAGGCCGGCATCAGCGTGTCCAAGTTCAAGCGCAAGTTCGAGCGCGGCGACGTCCAGCTCGGCGAGGACGGCTCTCCCGTCGTCTTCAGCAAGAAGGAGCTCAAGAAGCTGCGCAAGGACGGCGAGGAGGCCGACGCGACGCCAGTCAAGGAGAGCAAGAAGAAGCGCAAGCACGAGGACGACGAGACGCCCAAGAAGGAGAAGAAGCTGAAGAAGAAGCGCAGCTCTCTTGGTGCTTAGGAAGGGACCAAGCAGAAGCGGCGTCGCATTTCTTATTCATAGACGGCACCTTGGGCCTCATGTGGATCAAAATCTTCTTCAATGCGCTGTATGATACCTTGATCTCTCTGGCCGGCGTTATGGGATGGACCTGGGGGTTTTATATGGTCTGATCATTGGATGGGCATAGTTTCTCTTTTTACTGGCAGGAAAAATGCAATGTAATTGCTCGCTTGACCGACGTCCCGCGTCGTGTCCTGTGAACCAAACCCCGTGACATGTACAACGCGCACATCGCGCACCAAACCCTCGACTACACTCCGAGATCTACCACGCTCCCCATGGTTTATTTCGATTTTTGTTTCGAGGAAGATGAACAGCTCTTCGGAGCAGAGCCCAATACTCACCGCGGCATCCACTGCACCATGGAAGTCGAGGTCCACCAACGTGGCTCACATGCTAAGACATGTGTGTTTCTTGAGACATAGGTATCCGATTCTTTCGTCCAGTCGACTGGCAGTGGCAAGATCGTCTGTTGAAACATGAATCACCGCCGATGGCAACGTTGCAGCGCATCCCTTCACATGCGCAGAAGCTATCAAGATACACCAGCAGAAGTAGTCAATTCAATATGATAATCCAAGGTTTTCCCTTTCATAACCGTGCCAACTCTCTGTTCATGATCCGACGGGAATGCAGCGGCGGCCCTTGTCTCCCCTCGTACAAATCGGTGGCTTCTGGCCCCATTTGCAGCACTGTTGTCACGTAAGACAGATGGGCGCGAATGAGATGCAGCTAATGACTTACGCGGTAGTGTGCCTTGCCTGGGCACTCGCCACTGCAAAAGCATAATGTTAGCACGTTCCCATTTAGAGTCGATGATTGTCAAAACGACAGAGAGAGGGCGCGGTTGACATACGTAACGTAGCCGCCGGGGCAGGAGAGACTGTCCTTCTTGCAGATGCCGCTTTCGGTTTTGCAGTCGGGATAGAGACAGCACTTGACATTGGCTGGATCGTTGGGGCATTTGTTGTTCACAGTGAGACCATTTAGGGAGCTACACTTCGACGTTTTTTGACAGGTCCCGACGTTGCCCTGGGGAGTGTCAGAGTTAGTAAGACAACGGGCTCGATTTCAACCCGCTTACGTTGTTGTCGGTGCAATAGTCGTCGATGGCTCCGAGAGCGCTGGAGATGAGTAGAGCTGAGAAGAGGAAAGACGCCTTCATGGTGATATGTGTTCAGGTTTACAAAATAGGAGTCTGAGTTGATGAATGACAAAGGCTTCCTAGAAGGAAATGCACTGGCTTTTATAGATTTCGAGCAGGTAGCCTCTGCGAGAGCTGGCGAATGATATTGTCATCAACATGAACCCTCACGCCCTTAACGTGCCATCTGGAATGTACAAACCGCATGGTCTTACGTCCATCGTCTGTATGTTGTAGCTGCCCGTCTAGAGCCGTGTAGTAACTGGAACATGCATCTTGTCGCCATTGACACCAGGGCTGCAGGCCAAAAGTCCCGGGCATTGAGACCAGATTAGACTCCAGCTAACTGCTTGGAGTGAATCGAGATGTTGTCATTGGTTGACTTAGTCGATCGGGCCATGGGCAGATTGGGCAACGACTCAGACCTAGACAGGTGCAGCCTTGCTGAGGTCGCTGGTTTGAGGCAATTCACATACTTCTTGTACCATAGATTGAGTAACCTGAGAGAGGGGTTGCATTAGCCTCTCGATATTGTGAGACGGAATTGGAAGGAGGTGCTGCTGGTTCATCAAGACCGGGATAGATGGCTTACACGGGGTCGGGGTAAAGTTGGGCCTGGACCACACAAAAAGCAAATGAGGCTTTCAGCTGAACTGCAGGTTGTTAGCTAAGAACAACTCCACCAATCAGTCAACTTTGGCTAGAGTGTTCTTGGATATCGTTAACCAACCCTCTCCGGGGTCCGTCAACTTGCTCGACATCTGGAACTTGGATGTTGCAACCTGGGACAAAGGTCAGGCGACAACTCTAGCCACCCTGCGAAGTATGTATGTCAACGCATGCAACCCTGAGACTATGTAAAGAAATTCAAGAGACACTAAGTCATCTCGCTCAGACTAGTATCACGGTTTGTACCTTGTAATATGCCATAGCCTACTGCTGTACTGTTGACGATGTCTCGGTGAGCAATCCTTCACCGACAAGCGAGCACGTGACTTTGGTTGGCCCCACGGAGTGCCCGTCGCTGGTGCTCTCACCATCACAGCGCCATTTCAGATCATATTTGGCACCCCGATCAGTCCCTGCATTCATCATTCGCAATGGTCAGCGGTATGGATGGCCAGAGGAGGTCGAACGTGAGTGCCACCCTGAACAGGCCAACGCTTCATGCTTCTCCAGGAGGGGCTGAGGATTTCGGCAGCGGACGGAGCTCCCTGGGCCTCGACTCCGGGCGTCAGGAACAGTGGATGAACGATTATTTTGATCGCAGGGCGACCAGAAATCACGGCCCAAATGGTAGGTCTGGCAGTTTCCTTGTGTCCAATCAATGCAGCAAGACAGAAACAGGGTCGTCTTTGCCACCGCGCCAGCAGCGACCGCAGCGCGTACCTTGAGGTGAGGTAACCAGCCCAGGGGTACCTCCCTCATCGGCGTCATAAAACTAGCGCCACGTCTTTGTCTCGTCGTCTGGCAACGGTTTCGCTGCATGGCGGTCGGTCTGCCTTGAAAACGGCAGGCGAGGTTGACTTTGCTCTACTGCCTCCAATAGGTACCTACCTGCCTAGCTTGGGAAATACCTACCTTACTCTTTCTGGTGGAAAGAAACAAACGGGCAGTGACTGGCAACTGCAAACCAGCTGCACCTTTTGACGCGACCCTTTCATCGGTTTCGGACGATTCGACAAGCAAGAACCCAGTCACGCAGCTGTCCCTGTTTCAACATCCGAATTTATCTTCACCTCACCCACGCATTGGATTGGCCCTGCTGCTGACTCATCTCTCAACCCAGGTGGCTCGCATGCAGACGACGACGCCTCTGATGACGGCGAGGCATTCCCCCCACAACGCGTCAATTGGGCTGCTATGAGAGCAGATGCAAGCATGGAAGAGTATCTACGAAATGCACAGATTCCCGAGTACTCGGATGAAGAGGGCGGCAGCGGTCCTCTGGAAGACCTCGGTGACATCTCCGCCGAGGACACCAGTGTCGAAGACGGCGAGAATCACATCGACCAGCAGGAAGAAGAACCCGAGTTCGATCCTGTTGCTGCCGGTCTGAAGGAGATCTCAAACCTGGGGAAGTTCACCGTCAGCAGCCACAAGCAGGGGAATGGCGTTGATCAGCTCCGGCATGACAGCCTTAAGAGTTACTGGCAGTTTGTCTCCCTCTACACAATGTTTTGGCAAGGGCAGCACGAGACTGACTGCTTGCAGATCCGATGGGCCTCAGCCCCACAAATTGACCGTCTACTTCATCAAGCGTGTCGGCATCAGAGACATCCGCTTCTACGTGGACTACAACGAGGACGAGTCCTACACGCCCACCAAGATCATCTTCAAGTCAGGAACCAGCGAGAACAATCTCATTCAATTCGCGACTATGGATCTGTCAGCACCTTCAGGATGGCAGCTGGTTCCCATCGCTGGCTCCGGCGGTGGTCCTGACGGCAACACCCTGGTGTCGTATGTGTTCCAGATGCAGATACTCGAGAACCACCAGAACGGCAAAGACACACATCTCCGTTCTATCAAAATCTACGCAGCGGACACCGATGGCGCGAATGTCGAACGCGAACGGGACTCTAACAACGTCTCTGTACACAGCGTGAGTGTGATTAATCTCATTATAGATCGCCCGGCTGACAAGTTCATGCGAAGGACCTCACCATGGAGGACGTTGCTGCGGATGAAAGGCCAGCCGACCCCTGGGACATCTCTGTACTTGAAGCTGGCCTTCCTATTCCCGACTTCATGAAAGAGCCTGAGATTCGTTGAGCGATGGAACACGCGACGGCCCCGACTCCTGAGATTACAAAGGAGAGTCGTGCCGGAAGCCTGGTTTACGAATTTCACGAACGAGAAAATGCGAGTGTGACGGATATTTGTAGCATCAGTTCTTGTTTTACTGTAATGATACCCAAATCGGACACGGAAAAGAACCGGATGAGAATCAGGCGTTGGATGGGGAGGTGCAGGTCAGGATCGAACGTCGGACGGTTCAAGTCACGCACCACCACGATGATGTGAATCTATACTCATTCACTGATTACTCAATATGATAGGTTGAACCCTATTCCTGCCCCATGGTCTTGGCGGCGTTCAACGACTGGTCGACCCCCGCAGGTTGCAGCAGCATGTAGAGAGCTTAGCGCGAGCGGCTGAGTTTTGGTGTGGCAGGTTTACTCTCTGCATTCATCGTGATCCCTGCAGAGCCGGACGAATTAACCCGTATCTGACACCGAGACTGGGTTGCGACAACAAAGTCCACGTGATGTGGTGATGGAGTCACTCGCATCACAGCCTTTGAAATGGCGGACGCGAGGCTGATTCCTGGAATAATCAGACCTGAAGCACCGAAGCCTGCGATACTGAATAACCTGCGACGATGGACCAAGATGAATCGTATCGTTATCAGCCTCTGCCACCTGTTGTTGAGCAAAATCGTCCACCGCCTTTCACACGGCTGCTGTTGCTCAACCCAGGGTCAGCTGAAGACCCTTTCGAGGCGCACCTGGAGCTTGTCCACATCGAGCAAGCTCCTCCCTACGAAGCCCTGTCATACACTTGGGGCAAGCCGACAGAACAACCGAGAGACTACATTTGGCTCGACGGCCATTCATTACCCATCAAACCAAACCTCGAAGATGCGTTACGGTCACTGCGTTTCCCGAACCAAGCTCGGCGTCTCTGGGTTGATGCTCTCTGCATTGACCAGTCGAACCTGGACGAGCGCGCTCGTCAGGTTCAATACATGAGGCTAGTTTACAAGCATGCCGCCCGTGTCGTTGTTTGGCTGGGTCTCAAGACTAGTGGAACTCATGAAGCATTGCAAGCTGCGGAGAGGATTGCTAGACCCAGAGAATACACAGACCCGGCTCATAGCGCAGCGGATAGTGCTCCGCCTGACTCGGATACTCTTCAGGCTCTAGTCTCTAGCATGATGGAGGATATCCCTGAGTCTGCCATGACGAATTTGGATGAGGTATTTCAACGGCCGTACTTCACTCGCTGCTGGTGCGTCCAAGAGATTGTGGCGTCGTCCTGGGCCATAGCCAAGATTGAGGATTTGGAGATGTCGTTTTTCGACCTGATCGCATCATCCTTATTCCTCGTACAATTGAAACAAGAAGTGGCGGTCAACGCACCATGGGAGCTATGGAACAACATCTTAATGGTCCGGCAGCCCAATCATCCAGTGTATCAGACAGAGGTGCAAGGTTCTCTGGGCGGCTTTCTGCACCTTCTGGAACTCACACGAACCTTTCAGGCGACCGACGACCGCGACAGGATATTTTCTTTGCTGGGGATCTGCGACGAGGGGATCAATCCTATACTGGCTGTGACAGCGACTGCGAGTGGCCAGGTGAGCTGGCGCGGCCGCCTGGTCCGCCGCGGGTTGAAGCGAATATCTGATTTCATCAACGAATTCCATCCCCAAGGCACTTTCGGCACGCCCAAGGCGCTGATGCCGGACTACAAGCGAGAGACGGTGGCGGTCTAGTGCGACTTGGCCAGGTTTCTCCTCCGCAAGACACCGCGGGTGCTGGACGTCCTTGACCATGTTTCGCACAACGAGGAGCCTGGTACGGGAGAGTACCCGTCTTGGGTACCCAAATGGTTCGAGGGAAGAACGTGTCTCGTCTTCAGAGGAGTCTTCTTTACTGGGTTCTACTCAAAAGGCCGCACTGATCCATACCTGGCCGATCTACACGATATTCCCGCGGTAGCTGAGCCAGTGCGACCACGGGTCCTCTCTGTCGATGGATACCATGTGGACGTCGTGGACAGGATGAGCGACGTATTTGAGTTTGTTTCCGGGTCAAGGCTCGCAGGATTTGCCGTTATCAAGGCCTGGTTTGACCTCTGCGGCGTGCCCATCAACCCCAGGAGGGGAGCATTATACCGCGACGGAAGTTTGCTCGACATGGCGTTCTGCAAGGAAGTCTTGGGCAGTTTCTTTGGGGCATCCATCGGATCCAACTACTCCTCGATGATGCAATATGGCGGGTTCTCCATGACCTTGGATCAAAGCTTGTTTGGGTCTGTCGAAGAAATAAAGCTCAATACACTGGTCAAAGATCTTTCTGAGAATTTCCTGGCCTTCACAACCTTCTTGGCCGAGTCTGGAGTCGTGCAAGAGTCGTTCGGAGAGCCCGAGCGCGACAGAAAACTTGTGAGCTTCTTGGTAGGGGTCGCTGTTGCTGCCAACCACCGCCGCGTCTTTGTGACTCGAGACGGGCGCTTAGGGATCGGCCCCAAGATGATGCGGCCCGGGGACGAGGTCATTGTGTTGTTTGGAGGTCGCATGCCTTTTGTCGTGCGCCGAAGGGAGAATCACCATCTTCTTGTGGGAAGTTGCTATGTCAATGATGATGAGCTTATTTGGGGAAAAATCACGGATAATGTAAAGCACAACCGAGGCGGTCCTCGGACTGTGACTTTTGAGTTTCATTAACACTAGTTCGCAGAGAGACAAATTCTCTGCTGGATGGAAGACGATATCGGAACGATTTTGCTGCGAGTTGAGGCAGGTCAGACCTTCGGCCTAGCACTCTGCGGGCGTTGAGTAACACAGCAACAGCTCGATGAATCCGGCGCCGGGAAGGGCCGAAGTTGCTCTGGCCAAGATCTCAAGAGCTTGGGCCTCTGCCGCGAACTATGCTGGTTGATAGGTCGAGAAGTTGGGACGACACATGGAACCGGCAGAGCAGAGGGGGAAAATTCCCCGAGGTCGCCCCTCCACCATGCTTTGGCAGGTGGAGGAGGAGTCTCGAACGCAGTCGAAGTTCATGCTTCGGGCTCAGCTGACAGGAAAACTGGGCAATGGAGCAGGCGCCCTTTGGTGAAGCTTTAAGCGTGAAACATAACGCAGCCACTGACGCATCGACGGACTGCGATGCGGGGCCGCCCGGCCACGTCTAGACCGTGGCCCATGATGTCATTCCAGTAACTTGTATCTTTCATATATATCCATATTGAAGTTCCCGTGAAGCTTATATCGGAGATTGGGTGATATATGGCCGATGAGACGCCGGCGTGTTCTTCCCGTCACATCACAACCGAAGGCGGACAAGCAAAGTGCGCACGATGCAGATCGTCGTCGTCCCCGCATCGCCCAAGATTGGGCAAGCCACGATACGAGCGTTGTTGGAAGATGCATCGGAGCCGACAGTGACAGGGGTCTATCGGGATATGGGAAGAGTACCAGCCGAATTCAGGGAGCATCCCCGGTTCAGGGCTGTCAAAGGCGATGTCGCGAATGTCGGAAGTCTCAAGTTTTCTGGCGCAGACGCAGTGGTGACCATCACGCCGCCACTATATTCCGAATCGAAACCGTTGACCAGAGCGCGAGAGATGGCGGCGAATGTCAAGTATGCCATTGGCATGGCTGGGGACACGGCCAAGCGGTTGGTTTATATCTCAAGCGTGGGGGCGCAGCTAGAACACGGCACGGTAAGCTGGGATCTGAACGAGCGGAGGAAACTGGGGTGATAGGGGCCTAATTTTTGCTAAGATGTGAGTGTAGGGCGAGATAAAAACAAACTACGAAGCTGAACAGGCACTTATTGGCTCTGCGCCGGAGGTTGTCTTCGTGAGATGCGCGTACTTTATGGAGAACTGGGCGGCGGCGCTGGAGACTGCCAAAAGCGAGAAGCGCTACTTCCACTCTGTTATATCGCCCGCGGACTACAAAATACCCATGGTGAGTGAGCGTGGTTTATACACCAAGGTGGTTTGATGGTTGCTAATGATCTTCTTACAGGTCTCGGTACACGACATCGGCAAGACTTGCGCCGCGCAAGCGCTCGCAGCCGGATCCCCCCTCGGCGAGAATCCTTACGTCTTCGATCTCCACGGGCCGGAGACCTATTCGACGGAAGACGTGCGAAAGGTTTTCGAGGGGAGGATAGGAACGGGCGTCGAGGCGAAGCTAGTCGAGGGCGTTCAGCTGGAGGAGTTCTTTGGCGAGATCTTCCGGCCCCCAACGGCCGGCATGTTTGTGGAGATGACGAGAAGCTTCTTGCCTGGCGGGGTTGCGGTCGAGGAGATTGTGGAAGGTGCAAGAGTTCAACGAGGAAAGACGACACTAAGTGAAGCTGTTGAGATGATGATGGGTGGAAATGGGTGACGTCCTCGAACGAATTAGTGAGGGCGATGTTAGTAGGGGCAACTGATCGAAAATGTAGCATCGGACCACGCCTACGGGTGCAGACCAAGTCAAACCGCACAAGTGGTAGGTAGCAGGAAGTATCGTGTAATTCAAGTTCAAAAAAACAAAGATGGACCAAAAAGATACTAGGGGAAAAAATCAAAAAAACAAAGCTGGATGTCAATCGCGGACGGGAATTGAGCCCGACGTGGGGGTCGAACCCACAACCTTGAGATTAAGAGTCTCACGCTCTACCGATTGAGCTAGCCGGGCGACTGGACCCAGCTGATCTGTTGCGACGAACCGCCGTTTGGCAACATATGATGCATAGTTTGACAGCCATCGCGCCACGTCCGCCCGAACGAGGTTCGAAGTTCTGATGCCGCATGTCGAGTGCACGATGTCCAGAGTGAGTCAGAATTTGTGCAATTCTTTTTTGGGTTTAGAGAAGGTTTTGTTGCATTCCAGTTAGGTTTGTTTGTCTTGCTTGCTCATTCCCGAAAATTGACCCAATTCGTCGAGCCGGAGCCGAAGCCGACATTCCTAAACTGCCATCCCTCCCGACAGATTGATCTAATAAAATCTCAACCTTTTTCCCCTCTCGAATTATCCTTGCTCATTTAATCATATGAACTAGACTTGCTACTGGTTTATATGTAAAATATTTTTTTCAAGAAATTCGTCCCCTTAACCGTATCGAACAAGCGCATCGCATTCCAGCGATTCGGCATCGGGTCTCAAAGTTCACGGCTTCGTAGGATTCGAACCCCTGCCTCAGTCCCTAACCTTCGGGCTGTACAGGGGTCTGCGGTTCCACCCCCGTCGAAGCAAACAGGACCCTGAAAGTCTTTGAGCTTTCTTAACGTTTCTAAGAAGCTCTACACTCGGAAAACGAAACAGCTAGACAGAACAAGACCGTAAGCTGTCATACATATCGCTCTAGGTAGTTCACCAGGCGGCAGGGGATTTAATGTTTGAAAGAGAAAAGGTTTTATTCACCTGTGTCAGGGAAATTGTGCAGAACAGCACGCCTTGTAGAGCTCCATGCCCCCACAGTCAGCCGGCGGAAGCAGCAGACCCCATTCAATAAGCTGCGAACAGCATGGCAATGCAGTGTCTCGTTGGTTAGTCGATGGCCATCGTGATGTTGTCATTGTATTCTTGGCCCACTGTCGGGGGACTTTGGTTGTGGAGACACATCGGACTGACTTGTCGGTTCGAAAATGCCATGCTCGGCTCAAAATCCCATGCGAGGGGTTGGGCGGAAAATAGCTACCTATTGTACCATCACACAATATAAAACGAGATCGTCATCCAAACTAATTTGAGGCCTTCTTGTTCTTCTTTTTTGCTGAAACATCGAAATCAGCCGGCTCAAGATGTCAGTGTTAAGGAACCAAGAAGGCATAGATACCGTCACGGTCATGGTGGACGGCGAGAAAGCACAGAAAGTATCTGACACTAGCAGCTATAACTCAGATAAGAATGATCCGGAGGAACTTCAGATGGATCACGGTGTCGTCGCCTGGCTCCAAGTCTTGGGAAGTTGGATTCTTTTTGCCAACACATGGTAAGACAACAGCAAACCCTCCATGTACATCGCGCTTTAACAACAATGTTCAAGTAAGCTGACAACATCAGGGGCCTCTCCAACTCTTTTGGCGTCTTCCAGGCATACTACTCCACGAACCTCCTGCCCGACACCAACCCTTCGACGATTGCGTGGATCGGGTCCATCCAAATCTTCCTCATGATGCTGATCGGGGTGTGCGCAGGCTGGCTGCTTGACGCGGGATATCTCCGCTTCATCCTCGTCTGCGGCACCGCCATGACGTCCCTAGGTCTATTCATGCTCAGCTTGTGTACGCAGTACTGGCAGATTCTGCTGGCGCAGGCCTTCTGCGTGGGAATTGGTAGTGGGCTGCTAGGATTGACCTGCGTTGCCGTGATTCCGCTGTACTTCCAGAAGCGAAGGATGATCGCGACGGGGATCGCGGCTACAGGGAGCAGCTTGGGTAGGTGCACTCATGGCATTAGCGATGCTCGTCGTCTTACTTTGATTTAGCTGGCATCGTGTATCCCATTATGGAAAGACGTCTCATCGCCTCTATCGGCTTTCCTTGGGCCGTCCGAGTGTTTGCCTTTATCGTCACGGCAAGTCTCCTGGTATGCATCGTCGTAATGCGTCTTCGGCCAAACCGCAAGCGTCGCGGTGCTCTCTTCCGACTAAAGCATTTCCATGACATTCCCTATGTAACCTTTTGCATCGGTAGGTCTCTCTCGCAGGATCCCACCTTAACACCATCCCTAACACATGCCAGCCTTCGCCCTGATGATCGGCTCCGTGTACATCCCCTTCTTCTACGTGGATGCATATGCCATCCGCCTGGGCGTCGACGAGTCCACGTCCTTCTACATCCTCAGCGCGATGAACGCAGCCAGCCTCTTTGGGCGTCTCGCGCCCAACTGGCTTGCCGACAAATACGGCGGTATCAGCATCATGATGCCCTGCTGCCTTGGATCTGCCGTTATCTTATTTCTCCTGCGCTTCGCGCATGACATGCCTGGTCTGATCGCGGTGTCCGTCGTCTACGGGTTCGTGTCCGGGGGCATGGTCTCGTTGCCGCCCGCCACGATTGCCAACCTGACGGACGACATGGCCGACTACGGGACGAGGATGGGCATGGGGTACACGATTGCGAGTATCGGAGCGCTGATCGGTAACCCCATCGGAGGTGCTGCGCAACGGCGTCGGGGAGATTCGGTTGCGGATGTTCAAAGAGAGTTTCAAGGGACCTGGATCTTTGCTGGAGGGTTCATGTTAGCGGCTGTTATTTTGATGGTCTTTTCAAAGTATTTGAGAGTAGGGTCCGTCTTGCAAGGGAAGTGCTGAGGCTTCGAGCGTCCTCTGTCTGCAGAAATAACATTGGGTCGCGAGTGGCTTCTTAAGACCAAGAAATATGTAGCATCGAGCTTGAAAACAATGATGACAGAAACATCAACAAATATCTGAAGCTGGAAGAATTTGTGTTGTTCTACACGGTGTCCGGTCAAGACAGTACCAACGCATGCTCAATTTCAGGGGTAATGCCCGAGCTTCCGGGAACTCGCCATCGGCGACCTGCCCTCTTCAAGCTCAAAGAACAATGACTGTTTCGGAATAGCAACAGTCATTCTCAAAAGATTGAAGGTGAGAATGTTTTCCACCGACTTCAGAAAATAGCAGGTCCTTGAGACGAGCGTCGCACAAAAGAAGACTTCCGTAATTGACACAACTGGCTTTTTCGATGTTCCAACGACGACGA